AAACCTCTATTTAAAATGTTAGATACAAGTCTGTGATTGCAACCTGGTATTCCCCAACAGTAAAGTATGAGTGAGATAAACAGCAGCTGCACTTTCACATGTTATATTCCAGAAAGACAATTGTGTTAAAAGTGCTAAGGTGATCCTACATGGGCAAGTACAGTGCCATGGATGCATTTTTAGCTGATTTCTGAGCAACTTGGCTCCACATGGTATCCCTGCTGCAGTCCTGAGCAGCACAGATAGAATAATTCTGCATTTCCTTGGACTCCAGGCTCCTTCTGTCTGGGATAGGTGTGGAGCTGAGCCATATCCATCACTTCTTCTCCAGGACTAAATAGGCCAGGGACAATCCTATATCCTTCTGCCCTCCCCTGTATGGGAGCTGGTTCCAGACTGAGACTTCTTGTGATTAATTTCCTCACTAGCGTTGAGTGAAGAAACACCCAGACACATGGGGACACACTCACACACACCCAGACACATGGGGACACACTCACACACACCCAGACACATGGGGAAACACTCACACACACCTTGGCATATTCAGACACACCCAGGCATACCCACATGCAATCCCAGACACACTTGGGCACACCCAGACAGACATGGACAAATTCAGATGCACTCAGGCCCTGACACTCTCGGAAAAACTCGGACACACTCAGACACACCCGGACACACTCAGAAACACCTGGGCACAGTCAGGCACACCCGGACACACGCAGGCACACTCAGACACACCCATATACACTCTGACACACTCAGGCACACCCAGACGTACTCGGGGACATCTGGGCACACCCGGAGACACTCAGACACGCTCAGACATGCCTGGAGACAGACACACTTGGGCACTCTCAGGCACACCCGGACACACTGAGGCACACCCAGATACACCCGGGCACACCTGGACACACTCAGACATGTCTGTAGACACTCAGGCACACCCAGACACCGTCGGGCACACTCGGGTACACCCAGGAACACTCGAACACACTCGGGTACTCTCAGACACACCCTGACAGACTTTGGCTCACTCTGGCACACCCAGACATATTCGGGCACAGTTGGGCACACCTGGACACACTCCGACACTCCCAGACATCCTCGAGTACACTCAGACACTCGCACACACCTGGACACAGTCAGACACACTGAGACATATTGACAAGGTCTAAACAAATATTTGGTACCTGCAAGCTAGCTTGGTTTAACCCTTTTCCTAGGACCTCTGTTATGTTCAGTTCTCCCAGGTTGGAGACTCCACAGGTATTATCCATATAAGAGCTTGCAAAGGTTTTTTTCATTTTTTGTTTTATTTTGTTTTTCAAATTCTGATCAAGTGTTCAGAGGTCATTCCCTTTGGAAATTAGACTTTCCTTGTTTTAAACCTGCAGCCCAATTCAGATAATCTCTCAGTACAAAAGGTTCCTTACAAGATCCACATTATCTTGTCTCCCAATATCTTTCTTATTTCCTATGTTAAATACTTTACCTTTTAATTTTATTGAAGTCAAAGTGAGGTTTGCACTGGTGCAATTTTTTGTGATGTGTACTACATTTCTACTCCAGAAATGCAAATAAGTTAAAAATATAATGTTTCCCAGAAAAAACTGTTCTTTGTTTCCTAAATTTAGTACTATGCATGCAGAAGGTATTCAGACTCCTCCTTCTTCCATTTCACTTCTGTCAGTGCCCTTGCTAAGGTAAAAAGAGGTGGGCAGAGTACAACTTACACAGTCAGGTTTCAGGGCCTGTAGTTGCACTCACCTCTTCTTTGATCTGCTCTCATAGGTAGGTCTGTTATTAGTAGGACTTTTATTTACCTGCATTTTATCCACAGATACGTGTCTGTGAGTGCTACAACCAGCACAAAATGGGGATATATTTAGAATGTAAACCAGAAGCAGTTGCATCTTGTTCCAGTGCAGCACAGGCTGCTCTTCCTGTCCCTGTCTTCACTGTGGGTCATTAAATATCTACCTGATATTTATTTAGCTTGGGAAATGGAAGCAAACACAACCTCCAACCAAGAGACAAGATTTCAGTGTATTCCATAGCACCTACACCTCAGACACATTGGAAAAATATAAGCCTCATATGTGAGGAAGCCGAGCAAATATCCAGACGCTGCTATCTCCTCTCATCCCTAAATGTTGTTCTTGTGAGTTGTCTTCCCTACTGGGAACTTTGATAGCCACTGCTCATACAACTCTTGGTTTGGGAAGATGTAAAAAGATAATAGCTCTCTACAGAACCTTTCATCAGTACCTAGGTACTTCAAAGGATACTCAAGATCAGTAGTTCAGTACTGATTTAAATTTCCAAATCACGTGTGCATGCAGGAAGTGGGATGGGAGTCCTGGAGCATGAGTTAGAATTATAAAAGGCTGTATTCTCCCATCAGGCTTGTTCTGCACAAGTGCTTCTTGGGTTTCATGCTCGTGCCCCCTGCTAGAATAACTGAACATACCCTTTTCTCATTTAGGAAGCAAAAATTTTGTTCTGAGCATCTAAAACCTAAACTATAAGAAGTGCAGCCAGTTGGGAAGTGAGAGGAAAAATGGCTCTTAGCTCATTCACTATCCTGAAGGATTCTAGAGTGGAAATAATTCTTGTGAAGGAGCCTGGGTGATTCTGCTCTTGAATGGTGAACTACAGTTCCCTGCAGCATTGAGCCCTGTAAGGGATACTGACTTTACTGATGCTCTTGGGAACCGACAAGCCATCAATCCTAAATTACATTGGCTCTGTTCTGGTGATGTAACAGACTTCCCCTACTTTCTGTAGCTTTGGTGCAGCTTTAGTGCATGAATGCAGTAGGAGCTGGAGCAGGAACTGGCAGGTTTTTTATTTAGTCTATGGAAGTATCTTCTGGCATCTTTCTTCTGTAGACTAAAGTATGTGGTGAAATGCACTGGCATTAAAAAATAATAAATCAAGAATCATGCAATTTGCAGCAGTTCCACAAGCAAAATCATTTCCATGAAGATGTTACTGCTGAACGTTCCCTCCATGCTTATTGAGGTAACATGAATCTGGAATGAATGACAACTGATTAGGTTTGGATACTTTGCATTCAGTGTCATGTTAAATCAGGAAATAATCTTGCCTGTCAGTTGTCCGTTCCTCCTTTATTTTCTGTAATGACATGCCCTTGGTTTCAAATGTCCTTATGGTGTTTTGCCTCAGTGGATATGGAATAGACAGATTGCTTACCTAAGCACAAAAGGATTTTGCTTAGAAGCAACTTCAAATCTGTATGGAAAAATAGATCAACTGGATTCCATTTTAGCCAAGGATTTTGCTTTGACCAGTGGTGGTCTTGCCCACCACTGAAAAGCACCTCTTCTGTGTGGTTTTCTAATGCCCTGAGAAATCAGCCTTTGTGAATGCTTCCTCTGGAGAAGAGCCACAGCTCAGCCTGCATGAGCAGTCACTATCCAAAGGACCTTTGTCAGTGCTGGCCAACAGGTCAGGTTGTCAAAAAGGACATTGGGAGTAAATATTACACTGTTCCCTGGTCTTGAGAAATAATCTGTTCTTCAAACAGGGAAGAGATGAAGCCTGACAAGTGTTGGCGAACATTTGCCTGCAGCTTCAGCAGGCATATGGAGTTCTGGAGTTTAAATTCTGGTCTTCTTTGTTACTGCTGTTGGACCTTCCTCTCATCACAGTACAGTGTTTGCATTCTGCTTTGTAAGGTCTAGGGTCAGTTTGCCCCAAAATCCAGTTTATATGCTCAGTGAACTTAGGGAAGAGAGGGAAAGTTCAGAAAAAACATCTGCAGAGAATTTTGCATGGCCTTGGAGATTGCTAAATGTTTCCTCCCACCACCTTCTAGGTGATGAGATGTGCTAATTGCAAATGATGTCATTTTAACAGCTAGGCAGTATGTGATAGTCTGGGACATATAGGCAAGAGTTTTGCTACTTTGAGGGATATTTTGCTACAACGTTGAGGTGAAACAACCCCACCTAAAGAAAGAAAAAGCTCTAGATTTTTACAGTTCTTCATTTTTGTGATTTACGTTCCCTAGAATATTTAAAGAATTTGTTACTGGAGTGTCATAGGTTTGCAATGCTTGCTCTTTTTCCCCTACACCCTCCGTTTTGTTTTTAGAAGGAAGGTATCTAGGATTTTGGGACCAGCAGGACAAAAAAATCTATCCATAAAATAGTTCACATATTACTTAAACAAATTTTCAGGGTGTCATAGATCTTTGACCACAACAGGGAGGGATGCTTCTGTGAATTATGGTGTTAAAACTAATTCTGTTTCAAATAGCCAGTTTGCTCAACCAGGAACCTGAGAAGCATCTCTAGCAGGAGTCCAGGAGTCTGTATTGAAAAAGGGAGTGGTGGAAGAAGGAGAAAGAAAGACTACCACATTTGTATCTTCCATTTAAGTACCCTTCCATTTAAGTGTCCTTGCCACCACTTAAATTTGGTGGATATCAGATGTTTTACTGTCTTTCTGGTAGATTTCTCATACTCATTTTGTAAATTGTTCACTTTAGATGCTTTTGATGACCATTCTAGCACAAATGAAAAACTGTTCTGGTTTTGACTATTGGAGAGAACCCCAAGGGAAAAGATGGGAAAAGCACAAGATTTGAGCAGTTTTGCAAAATAAATCCTATTAAACACAGGTGAACTTATTTAAGGGTTGGTTGGAGCTACTCACTGGCTATAGGAAGTTCCCTTATGTCTTGACATTTCTGTGATCCATGAAATTGTCATTCATGATGAAGTCATAACTGCATTAAGTTTACTGAGAAAACATAATTTGCTGAACTGTATGGGCTTTCCCTAATTGCAGGCCTTCAGCAGGATTTGTAGAAGTTGGGTATGAAAATGTGCTAATGTTCTCTGTTGGATGAAGCATGGGATCCATTAATGTGTTTCTGTGGTAGAGTGCTTGTAGTTTCCAGGTCTTCTGCTTCCCTACAAGAAGGATCTAATAGTCTCTTTGGACTAGGGGTGCTGCAGGGACGTGGTTCTGTGAGAGGCAGTCAGGAATTCCTGCCACTGATCCATGGGCTGACCCTGGAGTGAATTATTTCAGCTGGAGAAACCAGCTGTTCCCACACATGTAAGAGTGCTTTCTCATTGGTGTAAAATTATTATGGCTGTGAAGAAAAGGGGCATGATACCTTCAAAGTATCTCTATCTCAACCATCAAAGGTTTTATAAAAATTCCTTTTGGTGTTAAAAACTAGCCATGGAGGGAAGTCCTTTATCTATCCTTTGTATTGCTTAGGTGATGGAAAGCACCACCTGAGGGCCCCAGTGGGCTTAGGTAGTGATAGGAGAGAATCCCCAAAGTGAAACAGCAGCCAGGGTTGCTAAGCAGTGGTTCAGTTCAACCACAGCAGAGAAGCTGGGCCTTGTCTAAGGGCTTCACAGCAGGTGGATGAGGCAGAAGATACTTTCTGTGTTCTTGCACTGGTTAAAGACACAGAAATTGCCTGTTTCAGCAGCTCTCCACCTACTAGGGATTTACCTGCACTTGCCAGGTTGCCCACAGGTATCCTCTGAATCAGCTTTCAGATCTAAGTAAAATACAGGAGTTAAGAGTAAGTTGAGAGGACATAGCTGGGATAGATTAGACAACAAAAATCAAGGGTGCATATTTTGAAAGTTTCCACATCATCTCTCTCCTTAGGTCTTTCAGCAACCATCTTATATTACTTCAGCATAGACTTTGGAACACTCAGAAACCTCACCTGTCTGCAAGTACAGCCTCTAGGGCCTGGGTTGCAGCAGCTACTAAACATCCCACAGCCAGCCTAAGTGACTGCATGAATCATGTTGTCTTCCTGAGAATTCATCCCAGATCCTCTGGGGATCAGAGGTGCTGACATATCCGGGCTGTGCTTCCCAGGCAGCCTCAGGTGGAGATCCTCACTGTAGAAGGCACAAAAGCAGAACTCCAGGTATCTAAATGCTTTTAAAGTCCAAAACCAGAGTTCAGCATGTACTCTGGAGAAACAGCATGGCAATTTGTGGAACATTGATAACAGGATTAAAAATACATATTGCATCACTGTGCCATCTACATAAGCTTCTTGTGCATCTGAGCTGAAAATGCCACAAATGCCACTTAGCCTTTGACATAACATTGATCTATCACGTACTTGTTTCTGTGGCTTGAGCTGACCTTTTCCTGCTACTGCTCCTCCGGCAGTAGTCAAACAATCTCTTCAACCTGAAACATCTTTTTGTCACAGCTGCCAGAAATCTCTGGTACGAGGTAAGTAAATAAACCAGACTTAAAGTAAATGGGCCAGGAGACCAGCTCCCTTTGACAGGCCTTTATTAAGAATCAGCTTTTTTGTGGGTGGGGGTACTCGTGGGGTGTGCACACACCACCACTGCTCCCAGATGACAACGCCGAGGAGAAGGGTCAGTGCAGCTTTGTCCACGAAGAGCAGAGCTGGGGCTTCCATCCTCACAGGAGTCCTCTACGAAGACAATCTTTAGCTCCCTGTCTAGGGCCCCATTTCTGACCGGGCACTGTTCTTATCAGGGTGAGGATCTTGGGTGTCATGCGTGTGCAGTTCCAGGAGACAGTTCCTGATACAGATAAACCATCTTGGCTCGTCGGAACTTCAGCTGGCTCGTTTTATAGGGGATTTATTTACCCGAATGGTACCCATAATTCCTTAGTTCCGCACTTTGCATAGAAGTCCTATGATGTCACCTCCTCTGGTGCCATGCCAGAACAGCAGCAGCAATACCCAATGGACAAAAGGGAGGTACACAACCAAGGCATCGGGGAACAGGGGAACTAACATTACAGCTGAACTGGGGTACTTAAATTAACAACA